TTAAACAAAAATTCGCATATTTTAACGGAGTTATGATATTATCATAAATACCAAACTTTAAAAATTGTATTTTTATTATAATTGAAGAGTTCCAACTACTAATTAGTTGACTATAATCGATTATTAAACAACGATATTTTAGCAGTTTACCCAAGAGTGATAAGTAAAAGAAGAAATTACCCTGTGGTCATTTTGAGAAAATCTGCAATATTTGCTGATGATTTAAAGCTTGACAGATAAAATACGTCCTTGAACTTTTGTGAACGTTGCAAAAGTCTTATCAGGACAATGAACAAAAAGGTTGCAACATTGTGTGTTACAATAGCACGTAAGGCGCTTTTTCATCCATTACGTTTTCATTTGAATTCTGATATTTAAAACATATCTTTATTATTTTTAATACTTCTTTGTTGCTTTGTTATCAATTTTATATTTGTTAAAGTACACACGATTAGCGCTTTAGCGCAGTCTCCTCAGTGTCCGTATGGTTGGCAACAACGAGGGGCCTCATGTTATGCGTTCTTTACTGATTTAGCTCTCGACTGGACAGAAGCAATGGTGAGTACCTCTAGCCTCAAGTTCTTCAAATATTCAGGAAGAATAGATATCTGTTTTGTGTGTGTGTTTAGATATCAATATTTAAAATAAAATTTAATATAGCTAATAGGAACATGGTTATGTTATTTTTGTTAATTGAAATTTAAACCATTGGAACTCATCTAAAGTATACCTCTGGATGCCAGTAAAATAACTTTGTTTGTCCTTTTTTACTTAGAAGGACTCGGAAAGACTCATTTAACTACAAAATGTTTTATAACCCGCATAATCGGAGTGCCTGTGTTTCTTTTAATTGATATTTGCAATGGAAATTTAATGTTGCTCATTTTAATGCCTTATCGACATCCACAGTCTTACTGCAGTGGACTTCATGCCAAACTAGTGGAAATAGAAACACAAGTGGAAGATGAATTTCTTCGTATATACCTAATGGATCATGGATTTAAAGGTATAACCATAATACTCTGACAATTCTTACCTCTACATTATAGCATTTATTTGACATCCTCTAAAAATGGAATTCTCGCGGCGCTGCCCTACGTGAAAAAATATTAATACAGAAAGCACAAAAAAATTCACTTTTACATGGATACCCACTTCCGCCCCAGCCCAGGAAGTGAATTTCTTTGTGCTTTCTATATTAATATTTCTTCACTTAGGGCAGTTATGTTAGTTTAAGAGTTGTTGTAAAATGTGCTTTATAAATAATAATTAATTTCATTACAACATGTATTGGTAACAATCCTCTGTTAAAACTTATGTCCAAATAACTGTATCTCACTTCTATTCTCAATGACCGTGTAGTGTAGGGCAGCGCCGCGAGAATTCCATCGGCATCGAAAGCAAAGTATTTTGACTTGCCTAGATAGCCGAGCGGTCTAGCGCGCTGTTCCTGCACTGCTAAGAGACAGATTCCGAAGGTCGAGAGTTCAACCCCGGGCTGGGGCGGAAGTGGGTATCCATGTAAAAGTGAATTTCTTTGTGCTTTCTATATTTATATATATATATATATATATATATATGTATACTTGAGTAGTATTTGAGTGATTTTGAATGGAAATAAAATTTATAAATATTCAATCTCATATATAAAGAAATCGTAAGTATTTCGATTTTTTTTATGTTATTTCATTTTAAATTTTGCACACATTTACATTTTGGAAGTTGTAACAAAATCCTACAAAATTCATCCCATTTCACCTGGAAAATATCCTTCTTGCAACCTATTTTGATATTAATCAATGAGTAAGCGCTTAGAACAATACTGTTTAATTTATCGTAATGCACAGGGGGAGGAGAATGATATAAATAAAAAATATGGAGATAACGAACAGTTTTCAAGATCAAAAGTCCATAAAATCAATACAAAAAGGAGCAGAGCAAACACGGAGTTTCAAAACATCAGAGATGGGATCAGGTGCCATAGAGGAGTCAACAATCATTACCATGCAAATGATAGTGGTATCATTATTGAATCTTTCATGGTCGATTTAATATCTTTAACGAGTCAGCATAGTCGCATGGTCCTAATTACACATTTATGGCACACAATGATATCATCCATGATAGATCATGCTATAATCCAAAAGAACAAGGAAGAACAAGGAAGATTTTATTGACTAGTGCGGAATAATAGATGATCATCAACTTAACTGTTCAGATCATCTTCCGTTATATCTGAATATCTGTCTACCATATAAACTTCCAACATCTAATGGACGTAGGAGAAATAGTGACGATGACGTGTATGTAAATTGGAAACGAGTTACAAACGACCATGTGCTGTTATATAGACAGTGTATCCAAGAAGGGCTACAGAACCTATAAAGAAATTTAATGAGAAAAACTGAAGGTGAACTTAATGAGGATATAGGGGACCTAGCGAATATCTTTTTGAACGCAGCCAAACGATCACTTCCTAGAAAGAGATATCGTTCATATTTGAAGACATATTGGAAATACGGAGGTGTAAAGAAACTTCACGCTATTAATCGACAAAAGCGAGCAGTGTGGATTGGACAGAATAGACCACGTGGCATGGAATTTCAATCATACAGAGAATATAAAGCTGCAAAAAGGGAGTTTACAAACGCACTTTCTGATGCTCAAAAGCAGTACGAATTAGAACAACTGGATTAACTACAGAAAACAGCAGAAATGGATATGGGTCTATTTTATCGCACTATTAAAATCGAAATAAGAAGTCATGGACGCCTTATGAATTGCGGATCAACGGAGTGATCATACGCGATCCAGATATCATTTGCACAGCATTGTACGAACACTACAAAACACTTGCTGCACAGAAAGAAGACCCTCTGTTTGATCAGTAATAAGCATGAAGGAAGGATCCTATCGAAACTTTGATAAAGTTGGTGATGTTATGATAAGGAAAGACGAGGTTACAGAAGCAGTGGAGAAAATGAAAAAGTGTAAAGCTCCTGGCCTTGACAAACTCGTCATTGAACACCTGCGCTTTGTGCAAGACATTATTCTAGAAATCCTGTTGGAACTGTTTAACGCAATCCTAAACAATGAAAAATATCCGACACAATTCAGAAGAGGATTAACTATAACTTTGTTCAAAGGAGGAAAAAAAGACAGACTCTACCCTAATAGTTATAGAGATATAACCTTAACCTCAGTCCTACAAAAGCTATTTGAAAATATATAATACTCAAGAATAAAGCGTATCAACGCTGAAATCCACTTCCCACACCCTCTTCAGCAGGGTTTTCGTCCAGGATGTTACCCTATCCTCAGTGAAATTCATGAAATGCACTCCACAACCCTAGATAAGTATTGGGTAAAAATCGGCAGTAATTGGGATGCGAAGAGCATTTTGAATTTCAAATATTTGGGAGGGAGGGTGGGAAATTTCACCCTCATGCAATCAAATGAATACGTCAGATATACGTGTGTATAACCAAGAACGTTACTTGAATGGTACTAGCTCATTTCCTCAACTGCAGTAGAATCGAAAGTGAGGCTTGAGGCTTTGCATTACAAACTATCACTGAGGATGTTACCCTATCCTCAGTGAAATTCATGAAATGCACTCCACAACCCTAGATAAGTATTGGGTAAAAATCGGCAGTAATTAAATGTTAATCGGACTTATTTGAATATATCCGTGACACAACTACAGAAAATCATACATCTCTCCCAATACTCAAAAATAAAATAAAAAATAGAGGAATACAAATGTTCACATATGATTTAATAATACAAAAGGAAAGTACAGTTGCATATCATTACAATATAATTTCTCACACAAGAAGAAACAGTTCCAACTAACAATGTCATGCGGAAATGTGACAAAGATACTGAGATACTAACAATGTATACTTTAGAGGAATGCAGGGTAAAGGGCATCGAAATCGGCATGCTTATTGAAGAAGGAATTTACATTTTTCAGGGTCTTGTCATCGGCTGCTTTTACCAAATTATCGGCCACTTGACTTGCATCTTTAATGGCACATGCCCTAGTGTAATAATGGGCTGTTATCTCTGATGACCATCCAACATGCTGCATAATTCCACGCGTATCAGTTTTACTTTCGGCATACGCGAGGGTTACGGCGCAGCCTGCTCGCATGCTGTGAGGAGTTTCTCCCTCAAAAATTCCTAAGGTCACTAAATAACCTCTGAATCTATCGTAAATTGACGAGTAAGACACCGGCTTATCAAGAACTCGTCCTGATTCCGTAATGACCCTAAACAAATATCCCGATTCTAATGGGATTCCGTGTTTTGATGAGAATTGGAAGTACGATTGAAGACCATGGACAGGGCAAATTGCCAAATCATTACATCGTTTAAGTACAAATGTGTTTGATTTAGTGGGACCACCCCTTAACGTTTTGCCGAAAGTGTGCTTGAAGACAAATCCGCTATTATCAGTTAATCTTTTTACCTCCTGTGATAATACTATCGCCACGTCACTCGCTCTGTCGCCGGCAAAAAATTGTAGCTTGATCAATGCTTGATCTCTCTGTAAAACATATTTTTCTCGCAATGATATGTCATCCCTCTTTATTTCTCTATTTATGTATTGTGCAATAGAGCGTATCTTATCTACGAAAATAGGTTTTGCTTGTTTTGGCACTACGTGAGCTCGTGCTTGTTCCTCCTTAATAGCTTTCAAATAAAACTTAACTGTGTCCGAAGCCGCCGGGTTTCCAACACCAAGAGAAGGATTCCATTCTCGACCTCTTCCCGACATGTCAAAAATATCAATCAGCTGTTGAATGATATTTCCTACTGTACCTGACGCTAATCTTACCGGACATGGGCACTGTTGGATAGAGTGCTTTCCTAGATTTTTGCAAGATTTAGAATGAATTTGTGTTTTGCCAGTTCTGTCTTTCCACACTCTTAATGTCATTTGGAGATGCACTAGTTAGACTTGGTTTCTCGGGTAGATGTTCGAGAAACGTTTTTTAAGTACTGGCCAGGGAGGACTTTTTCTTCTGGTGTGGTGAATTGATGTTCTGATTATGAAGTGTAGATAGTCTTTCATCAATCTGCTCTAGATTAATTACTTCAGCCTGAAATAATATTAAATAAAGCATAACCTATGTGCCATTAAAGTCCATTTCAAACCTTTTTTTATCCAGAACGAACCCATTTTTTGAGGGAATTTCTAGAACACCCATTTGACCCTTTACACCTACTGTGGTTGATGAAATGATAAACTGTTTTAGTATTGGGTACCAAATGGGGGTTTCTTCAAGAACCGGGGCGATAAAAGTGCATTGCTTTACGTGCTGGTCTTTTAGAAATTTTAATAAAGGAAGAATAATATTAAATGGGGGATTGACATAGGGGTTTTCTTCCTTTATAATATCCTGTGCAAAAACATTCACACCCGCTGAAAAAGGTGATGGTGAGGGTGTAAAATGTCTCAAAGGAACACCTTCGGGTGTTTTCATTGCATTGGAATCTAATGACATAAGATCTACCGTATGTGGTCCGAAAGCCATTTCCACTAATGCCCATGATTTGTCACTAAGTTTTGAGTCCGTTAAAGAAATCGAGCGGGATGGCGCATCTGCTTTATTCTGATTTGAGGCAATATAAGTGAGATGCAAGTCAATATTATGATTGTAAGTTAGCGTAAACAATGATTTCATTATATCGTTGAGAGGTTTGTTACGGGCCCCCTGGTTTTCCCACGCGGCAATGACGGAGGTATTATCTGTCATTATGTCGACCCGGTGATTGTGAACAGCGCTGTCCAACGATTGGAGCGCCTTTATCAGTGCTTCAGCCTCTTTGAGGTGAATCGGTCGTTTATCATTGCTATCCCAGAAATCGCCAAAGGTTAATGTTTCTTGCTCCGCTGACATGACCGAAACCCCGTATTTGAAAAGAGACGCGTCTGTGGCGAGTGTAATTTGCTTATGCAGTTCTCGTCGCCATGGCACATATGTGTCCCAGTTGTCTATAAAATTCCAATGCTCTATTTCTCGTTTAAGGTCACCTGTAATTGGAATTAGACGAGAGTTCTTTAGACCACGCGATATAGCTGCATTGACCTCCCGGCAGTACAACCTAGCAGCTGGCACGACTAAATTCATCGATACGCATTTTCCTGCAAATTTCTGCAAAGTTTTGACATCGACTGTCTCAGAATTTAAGATATGGTTTCTGAGCGTTATAAATGAATGTTTTTTATCGCACGGTAAGATGAAAGCCTGCTTGGCGGAATCGACAATGAAACCGAGAAATTTCAATTCTGTAGACGGAAAAAGCCTACTTTTTTTCAAAGACAATGTATACCCTAGACGGGTTAAGAGTTCTAACATTTCAAAACTGACTTTGCTTATATCACTTTCAAATGAGCCCATTCTGTTAGAAGCCACTAATAAACGATCATCTATGTACTGCAAAGTGATTATGCCCAATTCCCTCAAAAACGTAGTTACTTGCATGCCAATAGTTTGGTAAACAAAAGCGGAAGCTTTCCACCCAAAAGGTATTACGGAATATGTAAATACCCAACCACCAAACTGGAAACCGAAGTAAGTTTCTGAGCCCTGTGTTAGCCTGACGTGGTCACAACCAGACTTCTCATCGCATGCGACCATAAGAACATCTTTTTCAACGAGGCGGGGAACATGTTTAAGATTTTCTAATTGAAATGGGCAATCTTTTATCCAAAGATTTAGATATCGTTCGTCATGACACAGTCTTGGTTTGCTAGGTTCTATGGTTAACGGCATGACTACTTTCGGCAATTCACACTCACCCAGTTTTCCCCAAAGACGAATCGAACCCGATTGCAACCGATTCAGAATTTCTCTTGATATAAATTCTAAGTAATTTTTACAGGTTGTGGAATTGTTGAAAAAGGCTCTGGGGGGTTCTGCAGAATTATAAGCTTTCCCTTTGAAATTTCCCTTGAAGGTTTGAAAGAAATCTTGCACATTTACACCTTCTGATATCCACCTTACGACGTTTTCCGGTAAATGTTTCGGAAGCTTTAACCACTCATCTTTACATGCATTAAGGCCCCCTGCTACGAAATTATCTGGGTCACGTAAGGGTAAACTTCCAAGATTAGTTGGAATACTGTTCTTTAAATCTTTTGAGGGGTTGGAGCGGACTGCAGGTGTGGGCTTGTCCTTGTTTAATGTCACCCAAGTTGGATGCGTCCTTACATCTTTCAAAGCAGCAAATGGGTTAAAATTAACATTCATCTCCCATTCTGGCGCTGATAATGGTGGAAGGTTATGAATTTCCACAACGCCCTATAATACAAAATGAATTATTAGGCTCTTGAGGAGCATCCAACCGGGTCAAAAACAAGGGAACAAGCCACACACCTGCAGTCCACGTGAACAAAAGTTCACTAAGGAATCAGTGTCCCCGGACTGCGGTGAAGGCTTGGATATTAAAACAAAATTCATATTTCCACTTTTATTAAAGCAAATGAAATGTATTTACTGCAAATACAAATTCAACAAAATTTACTGTGGTGTTGATACATGTATGACAGAAAAGTTTTTTTTTTCCTAACGCAGACTGAAAATGAATGGTCTATTTGTTTTTAGCGATTTTCATTTTCTCACAATCTTTGATAGCGTGTTCGGTTGAATTGCAAAAATAGCATTGACCTCGGGGTCTCCAACGGTTCTGCCTGTTGCCCGAGAATCTACGATTAAACTGGTAATGGTACATCCCTAAATTAGGCCACCCGGTCATAGTTTGGGGCATGAAGTACGGCATTTGAAGCGGAGGGTAAAGACTCTCAAGAGGCGAAGCCGATTCTGCGGTTTTGGCCGAGGAAGTCGTCGAGAGTTTATCCTCAACTTGTTTTTCTTTCAGGCACTTCGCCATAGCTTTCAACACGATGTCGGATGCCTTACCGCCGAGTACGCTGAGAGTTAGGGTGGCTATGTTAACCTCGCCCTGGTGCCTATTGGCTTGCCTGCATAACTCGTCGTAAACGTCTGACTCAGGATCGTTATGCTTTCTAGCTTGTTTTGATAGCTCATCGAGGGTTAAAAGGAGCAATGCTTCATTTGGTTTGGATTGTAGGGCAAGACTTCTCACCTTTTCCTTAAGGTCCTTTACGGTGTCCTCTTTGACTTTCTCTAGGTTTTCAATCCTCTGTTTTAGAGTTGTCCTCTTTCTTTTGCTCGTCGACGGCCCCTGTTCGTCATCCTCCTCCTCCGTGTCCTAATCAAAATGAGATTTTATATTAATTTGGAATCATATTGTATTTCTTTTGCTTTATTTTCATTAATGACATATTGAACAACTTTGTTTGGGGACACAAAAATCGAATCTCGATGGTTTAATACGCTAAATTTAATGTGTAACACGTGTGTAGGAATTTTCCCTTCGTTAGCCCCTCCCTTTTCAGAGTGCAAAAGGTTGAATTAATTAAATACACTGACCTCTTTGTCTTGGAGATCATGGCCTTGTGGTTGACCAATCTCATTGGCCAAGAGAATGGCAACATGTGCCAGTTTCCTCAGTGAGTCTTCACATACAGGCGCTCCCGCCAAGTCAAGCAGTAAATCCGCGTCATCATCTAGTAGATTTTTCAGATGTCTTCTTAAGTCTTCTACAGACATTTCTTCTATCCTTTCATTGGACTTAAATCTTGCATACTCCATTCTTTGGCTCACTTTAAGATCTTTGAATTTTTTCATCAATTTCAATGTTACGTTTTTGTTTCTAAGGTCATGACGCCTTTTGAGAATAGTAGGTGGCATCTGCAAAATACATTTGAATGTCTTTTGAACAGTTTACACAATTAAAATGTAAGGTGATGAAATAAGTCACAATATACTAAGAAACTTGTAATAAACTAATGTATACTGCATTTCTTTCTGGTGTGCAACATGGCCGACCACATGTGTCGCAAAATTTTCGGACAAAGGAAATGGCAATCAGCCTCAATCAAAGAAAGTTTTGACTTCATCAAAGTCTAAAAGTCATTGCTTGAATCACAAGCTATAATAGGACTAATCAAGTCCTAGGTGTGAACACATCATGTTCTAACACCCACTTTAAAGGAAAATATATTTACCTTGAGGGATATGCGTCCGTCCGGGTCGGCAGTAGAATCGAAAGTGAGGCTTGAGGCTTTGCATTACAAACTATCACTGAGGATGTGGAAGTATACCGGCAGGATTTGTTATACCGGAAACAATTCACCACTATGTAGAGAGAGACTCTGATATTTATGTGGCATTTCTAAACAACCAAAAGGCATTTAACAGCGTGTGGCATAATGGTTTGCTCTACAAACTGTACAAGTTAGGTATCAATGGTAAAGGATGGCGCTTGCTTTCCGACTCATTTTGTGATTCCAGCTCTCGAATCTTATACGAAAAAGAATTGTTGAAGGAATTCACTTTACAGCAAGGTGTCGGAAAAGGAAGGGTACTATCGTCGTGGTTTTTCCTTCTGATGATTGACGAATTGATAGAAATGCTGGATAAAAGTGCGACTGGAGCATGTGTTTGTGACCTTCACATTATTCTGGATGACGACACTTCCCTTATATCCAACACTCCCAGTGGTCTCCAGAAGCAACTGGATATTGTCTACAATTACGCTAAACGTTGGCACTAGCGTTATAATCCTGAGAAAAGTTGTGTTCTCTTCTTTAGCTCTAGTAGAAAGCGACAAAAACAACCTGCTGCTGGACCATTTATTCTTGGTCAGGAAAACATCAACCTATATTCAGAAAATGTTTATGCTGGTGTCGTCCTAACTGATAGGTTACAAAGTGATACAGCAATCACACAAGCATGCAGGAAAGGAAAGCGCATATTAAACTCTCTTATCAACGTAGGAGTTCATGATCACGGTATACATCCCATGACCAGCGTTCAAGTATGGAAAACAATTGTCATGCCATTGATCTTGTATGGATGCGAATTATGGGATGTGATCTCCAAAAAGTCAGTCGAAGAGCTGGAAATTGTACAGAGATACGCGGCCCGTTGTATGCAAGGATTTGACCAAAGATCACCAACACCGTATACCATCTTTTCCCTTGGCCTGGTTGAAATGAAAAGAAGTGTACATAAAATCAAGTTGATGTTCTGGAACAGACTCTGTACATCAAACTATTCTCTATTCTACAAAAAAGCTTTTCATTGCAAGGTTGTGCTCTTTTGGTTCGGCGACACCAAGACCGAAGCGTGGATTCCTAGCAGATATTCACTCCATAATGAGGGAATACAGCATTGATTTCTTTTTCAGAGAGTACCTTTTGAATCGTGACGTTCCTCCAAAACACACCTGGAAGCAACTCGTAGGAACTGTAGTTGACACTGCTGCTGAACGTGAGTGGAGGGAGAATTTGAAACAAAGGAAAGAGCTTCGCAGATACGCAGAAATACATGAAAAATTATTAAGGTAGGTCCGTACTTTCAAAATTTTCTGTCAAACTGATATTTTATTTGAATACCTTGAAAAAGTTATAAACTAACTAATACATAGGCAATTTAGCCACATATGATCCACATATGCATTGCCTTTCATATGAGGATCATATTGGATCATATGATAATCATATGTATATAAAATCATATGAGAATCATATGTGGCAAATCATATGAGAATCATATGATTACACATATGTATATCATATGATCGTATTTACATATGATTCTCATATGAAAGGCCCTGCATATGAGAATCATATGTATATTTTGGCAGTGTTCATATGAGAATCATATGAAACTGATCATATGATAATCATATGAAACCGTTTTCACTTATTTGCCCTTGATACACTATGGTAAAAATCATATGAATATTTTGACAGTAAACATATGAGAATCATATGAAACAGTGATCATATGAGAATCATATGAAACAATGTTCACTTGTATGTCCTTGATATACTCAGGTAAAAATCTTATGAATATTTTGACAGTGATCATATGAGAATCATATGAAACAGTGATCATATGAGAATCATATGAAACAGTGTTTACTAATTACCCTTGGTATACCCAAGTAAAATTGCATTTTCAATAATGTATATCAATAGAAATTTAAATGTACATTATTTTAAAAGAATTTGTTAGCAATTACTTATGTAAAGTTCTACTCTGTTTAACCCCCCCCTTTCCCTTATAAAAAAAAAAACCTTTCACAATTTTCTTTTTCTGTAATAATGCATTTCCCAGACAAAATTGATAAAAAATAAATTAATTTGCTTTTTATTTCAAATCTTTTGGGTTTGGTTTATTACTTTGAGTAAGATAAAAATAATTCCGTATTTTCTTCCGGACCGGTTTTGACTTCTATCGGATGAAAGCGTACGTCATGTTTGACGTCACTGCTGTAGCAGAAGTGCTGGGTGTTGGAAAAAGCTATGGAAAAAGTAAGTAATCTCCTAACAATTTTTTTAAGACCTTTAATTCATATTGTTTAAATATCCTTTCTTTACGGTTACAAGTTCGTATGAACTTATTTCTATAATATTCTCATCACTTGTAATTGTTAAATTAATGCATTTCGTAAACCTACATAACGTTAGTGATCTGTAAGTAATTTTGCATTTGTTTCTGAGTGGATGTAAACATTATAATTTACATGTTAGGCTAAAGGCATTGCTTTGTTAGCTCTACTGGTCAGAGACCAGAAGAGCTTATGCGATAGTAATGCGTCCGGCGTCCGTCCGTCTGTCCGTCTGTCTGTAAACAATTTTTCAAAATGCTACTCCTCCTACAGTTTTGGTCTAATTTCAATATAACTTGGCACACAAGTAGAATACACTAAGATACATAATTCTGTGTATCGGTTTTTGATTTCGATGAACGGTGTTGCCGTGGTTACTAAAAATAGAAATTTCTGTGAAATTCTTTCAAAATGCTACTCCTCCTACAGTTTTGGTCTGATTTCAATATAACTTGGCACACAAGTAGAATACACTAAGATACATAATTCTGTGTATCGGTTTTTGATTTTGATGAACGGTGTTGCCGTGGTTACTAAAAATAGAAATTTCTGTGAAATTCTTTCAAAATGCTACTCCTCCTACAGTTTTGGTCTGATTTCAATATAACTTGGCACACAAGTAGACTACACTAAGATACATAATTCTGTGTATCGGTTTTTGATTTCGATGAACGGTGTTGCCGTGGTTACTAAAAATAGAAATTTCTGTGAAATTCTTTCAAAATGCTACTCCTCCTACAGTTTTGGTCTGATTTCAGTATAATTTGGCACACAAGTAGAATACACTAAGATACATAAATCTGTGTATCGGTTTTTGATTTTGATGAACGGTGTTGCCGTGGTTACTAAAAATAGAAATATCTGTAAAATTGTTTCAAAATGCTACTCCTACAGTTTTGGTCTGATTTCAATATATCTTGGCACACAAGTAGACTACACTAAGAACATAAAGAGACTTTATCAACGATCATTATTCTATTTATTGCTGTTGTAAAGTTTCAAATCCCAGCTGCTTAAGGACTTTTCTCTTCCTTTGCTATAAGTTCAAACCAGTAGAGCTTCAGTCTCGACAGAGACTTCTGGTTTTTCTTTTTGACTTTTGTTACGTACTCATGCAGCTGGTATACTGATTTGAAAGTGAAAGTAGAAACCCTTTATAGCAGTTTGGCGTTTTTGTATGTTGAGATCGTTATCAAGTCGATTCTTTCATCAACTTAATGACAAATGTTTGTTTTTATGGCCTATAGATGCATTCAACAACTTGAGTTCAGTGACACCGTGCTGCTTTTTATTAAGTCCAAGATGCCCAAAGCTGATAAGACTGGCGATTGATCCTTAAGTGATTTTGACAGACGATTGCATCATCACAATATTAAAGGTAAAAAGAAATACTTGGAATAAAAAATCAAAGTGTACATCTGAAATGACTCCTTTATGACAAAATATTTCTTCATAATTTCTTTTTGTTCTTTTATAATTTGACTAGCTTGGCTCTGTTGGCTTCATAAAAAAATTAAATCAACTCAGTAATATATAGAAGTTTTATTCTACATTATGAAACAATTTTAATCCAATGCACTTTTTTTAAAATATGGTAAGTATCATCGAATAGAATTTGCTGGCTTTAAAAGCTATGAAACTATACAATAACTTCAGGGGGTAAATTGAATTTCAGCAAAAAAATGATAATATTAACAGTGGCAACTTTCAAGGTACAAATACATGTGCATGTGTATGATTTGAAAGTACATCAGATAGCTAATCCATCCAATATTTACGTCTATGTATTCAATGACTGACATTCATAAAAATTTTTCCAACACTATAGAAAACCTAGTTTCAGATAAATTGTAAGATATTTAAGACTATAGAGAAGCTACAAACTTGTACTCTCTCATTTTTGTAGTTTAAGTTTTAGTTATGCTTAGAAATTATCTACTGTGTGAATATTTGTTTTACAGGTTCAACATACAGTCAGCCTCTCATAAGAAAAAAATCCAAAGATCCAAGGCTAATGGCTTGCTTCAAAGTTAAGGTAACTACACACTGTTTTATAGACTTTGCTATAATTATAATTCTTCCCAACAAAGTTTGGGATATCCTGGAATAGGGTTGCAACGATACGCCTACTCCAGGATATAATACGTATCACGGTATTCAGTTCATGATATGATACGTACCTGTCGTACCACGATACGTGACATATTGGCTTATAAAGTAGGCGTTTGTCATTATATACTTTAAACTCAAAAGTTTTATCAAATGTTCATTACACTAACACTAAGAAAGTAATAATATCCTTTGACCCGTTAAATATGAGGCTGGAAACAAGTTAACTGCCATTTCTGCAGTTTCATTGAACTCATGTTTTGTGCGGAAGCCATTTGGAAATTGTAAACGAGGAACCAAAATGGACGATTCAGATAATTACGGACCGATTAAACCGAACCGTGATATCAGTTTCATGTATTATGAGCCGAACCGTGGAATCATAAACCGTGGTATACCGTCAATCGGTTTATCGTTGCACTCTTATCCTGGAATCACAAAGTCTGTTTTTTCTGCCTCTCTACTTTTCTGTAATTTCTTTTGTCCAAAAGTAATATATTTGAGTCATAATCTTCTTAATTTTTGGCAATTTGAATTAATACATGCATAATACTATTTGAACATTAAAAATTCAATTGTCAAATTAAAAAAAAAAGCTTTTTATGATTTTAATATGAAGTAATTTAAGAATTATTTTATTTTTATTTTTGGAATTTTTGTAGAGACCATTCTGTGCCACAAAGAAATTGTTCCGGAAGTGGAGAACTGGTGGATTTGCATTTTTGGTACAATTCAAAGGGATTCTCAAAATGGTCAGATCAGAGGGAGGACAACTTAAAATATTGAAAGATACAGAAGGAAAAAGAACAAGGAAATATAGAGAGGGAATAATTATGAAATGGGGAGGATGTACACAATCTTGTCTGAATTTGACCTGAAAAGATTTCCCATTCTTTTTTTTGTATACTGGAATAGTCATAGCTTAATTTTTCATAAATTTACAATAGAGAACACATGACAAATGTTATTGCTGATATTTCAATTTTGCTGTGGACACTTTCATGTCATATGGTATTTTAATACAAGTACTTGACCTAATTATGTTATTCATTCATCCATGTATACTTGTTTAACTACTTAATCATTTTGCTGAAATCTTATAATGTATACTCATTTTAGAATATGTTAAATACATGTATCGACAAATGCTACTGACTTGTTTGTATATTGTTTTGTTTAGAATGTACACTGTGAAAAATAAGTTATTTCTCTTGATGAAAATAATTTTATGAAAAAAGTTGTGTAAGCATTATAAGATATTTTGAAATATTTAACAAATGAAGATAGATCATTGTAATGTAATGAATTTTCATCTAAAGCAGAAATATCTGATTTTTAAATGTGTACATGTACAAGAATGTGAAAATTATTGAAAGAGAATACACATAACTGTTTCATATGATTTACATATGATGCCCTTTTCATATGATTCCCATATGTAAATGCCTTGAAACACACATAAGTGTTTCATATGATTTACATATGATGCCCTTTTCATATGATTCTCATATGTAAATGGCTTGAAACACACTTAAATCATTCATATAAAAATCATATGTAGTTATTTTCATATGATTCACGTATGTGGATCATATGTGGATCATATGATTTGCTTCATATGATTCACATATGATGCCCTTTTTCTATGATTCTCATATGAAACCAATCATATGAGAATCATATGATACTCATATGAGAATCATATGTGGCTAAGTTGCCTGTGTACACCCATAAAAAGATATATCTTTGCAGGTTAATTTTCATGCAACACGTCTCGGAGTACATACCTCTAAAAATTCAACATACAAAATTGAACATAAAGATCTGTGATATCCTATTTATTTTAGTTATGCACCAAATAACATCGAATTTATGTTAAAACTTATGAAAATCAAAAATATTCATTTTCCAAGAGAATATTTGAAATCTTTATTGGATAACATTAACAAATTGATGTTGAATTTCAAAAAAAGATATCAAAAAATCCTTATTTTTTATAATTCTCAAAATTTAAACTGTTTAGATGCCATTTTGTCTTAAAAACTATTACGAATTATATCTGAAGTTAACAAAAACTCAAACTTTATTAAGACTGACCAGAGAAATTTAACAAAACAGCCTTTTGAACACGTATACCCCCATTTTTTGAAATATCAATTTTTCCAATCATTCTTTACAAAATTTGAAAAAAAGTTAAATTTAAGATGACGATATAGGCTAAAAATCAATAAAAATAGATATCCAGTTCATTTGTTTAAAATTTTTTAAAAAGCTTTAGGTCCATAAAAGAAATTAAGAATTTTGTGTCTGTGTATGTATTGAATGACATGAAGTTCCTATGGACAGAGTGCACAGGGTTCGACATTAACGTTAGTCCGTTAGTCTCAGACTAATACATAAAATACATAAATGATGTACATAGTTTTTAGCTCTACTGGTCAGAGACCAGAAGAGCTTATGCAATAGTAATGCGTCCGTCATCCGTCTGTCTGTCTGTCTGTCTGTAAACAATTTTTCAAAATGCTACTCCTCCTACAGTTTTGGTCCAATTTCAATATAACTTGGCACACAAGTAGACTACACTAAGATACATAATTTTGTGCATCGGTTTTTGATTTCGATGAACGGTGTTGAACGGTTACTAAAGATAGAAATTTCTTTGAAATTCTTTCAAAATGCTACTCCTCCTACAGATTTGGTCCGATTTCAGTATAACTTGGCACACAAGTAGACTACACAAAGATACATAATTCTGTGCATCGGTTTTTGATTTCGATAAACGGTGTTGCCATGGTTACTAAAAATAGAAATTTCTGTGAAATTCTTTCAAAATGCTACTCCTCCTACAGTTTTGGTACAATTTCATTATAACTTGGCACACAAGTAGACTACACTAAGATACATAATTTTGTGCATCGATTTTTGATTTCGATGAACGGTGTTGAACGGTTACTAAAAATAGAAATTTCTTTGAAATTCTTTCAAAATGCTACTCCTCCTACAGATTTGGTCCGATTTCAGTATAACTTGGCACACAAGTAGACTACACTAAGATACATAATTTTGTGCATCGGTTTTTGATTTCGATGAACGGTGTTGAACGGTTACTAAAAATAGAAATTTCTTTGAAATTCTTTCAAAATGCTACTCCTCCTACAGATTTGGTCCGATTTCAGTATAACTTGGCACACAAGTAGACTACACTAAGATACATACTTCTGTGCATTGGTTTTTGATTTCGATGAACGGTGTTGCCTTGGTTACTAAAAATAGAAATTTCTTTGAAATTCTTTCAAAATGCTACTCCTCCTACAGATTTGGTCCGATTTCAGTATAACTTGGCACACAAGTAGACTACACTAAGATACATAATTTTGTGCATCGGTTTTTGATTTCGATAAACGGTGTTGCCGTGGTTACTAAAAATAGAAATTTCTGTGAAATTCTTTCAAAATGCTACTCCTCCTACAGTTTTGGTCTGATTTCAATATAACTTGGCATACAAGTAGACTACACTAAGATACATAATTCTGTGCATTGGTTTTTGATTTCAATGAACAATGTTGCCATGGCTACTAAAAATAGAAATTTCTGTGAAATTCTTTCAAAATGCTACTCCTCCTGCAGTTTTGGTCTGATTTCAGTATAACTTGGCACACAAGTAGACTACACTAAGATACATAATTCTGTGCATTGGTTTTTATTTTGATGAGTGGCAAGGATCATTTCTCTATTTATTGCTGATTTAAAGTCTCAAGTCCCAACTGCTACTTTTCTCTTCCTTTGTTTTAAGTATAAACCATTAGAGCTACAGTCTCGACAGAGACTTCTGGTTAAATTATGGACAGTAACTTGTGTCCATATTTCCACATTTTTGTTTTGAAGTTCAAATCTTGTTACATATTAACAGTTTGATGCATTGATCTCTGCTGCAGAGGAAATAAAGCATGTCTGTCTGTCTGTCTTTTCGATTTTTTAAAAACTCGCCGTATTATTTCCCGTTGAATTCTTCATGAGCAAATCGTAATCCTTAACTACATATAGTTTGAAAATTGGAGGCTAGTTGCTTGGTGACTTTATCATTCATGATCATAGTCTGCTCTGACCTTTATGTTTGTAGCGTCTACAATCTTAAAAGTAGCCCTCATTGTAGCTAGTATTCAGTGTTAGGTGAATTAAAAGGTGAATTGTAGATATAAGCGCAATGAAGAGTCGTTGTCTCATATTTTTCTGACTAGTGTGTTGGTGAAAAGAGTAAAATTGAACTGCCCAGGCTACTATATTTTTTTCTCCAGACTAATAATTTTTTTTCTTATATCCAGATGAATATTGATTTAAAAATTCCCGTCTTAAGAAATGTTCATGTATGACCAGGTTTATAACTACAGATAAAGGTATAGGATGACCTTCACTAACAGGAATTTTACTCTTATCTGACAAATGGATATATTAATTGCAACATTCTTTACGACAATTGCCAGTAAGATTCATAATCACTATTAAACCTTCTTTATCAAGTATATTTTTAACAATTTACACAGATTTTTATGGTTTTATTTTGATGTTGTAATTTTCATCATTTATTTTGTTATCTGCTTTTTTTTTCTTTTTTCGAGGTTTAATTTTGCTTTTTCGAGGTTTAATTTTGCTATCTTAATTCTTATTCCTTAAAATATGTAATATGTTGTATAATTGTATAAGTATATAGCGTCAGCGCCCAGCCTAGCCAGTGTCCGTTTGGATGGAAACAGCGTGGTTTATCTTGTTATGCTTTCTTCATTGATGTCCCAGACGGATGGACTGAAGCAATGGTTCGTAACTTTAATCATAACCTGCATTCCTCCCCATAAATATACAGATACCCTATAACCAAGTTAAGCATCTCAAATTCATTCCATATCCTGTTACATAAACGGATATTTGGATTTAATTATTTACAAGTACACTTTATTAAATGCAGATGATATTTTATATAATATCTGAATAAGTATTTTTTGGTAAAAAATGAATAGAAAACTTTATATTGTTGTCTATTTCATTTAAAAATAATAGGCGGGGGATACCCTCTCCCACCTCTATCATCACATTTTTTCACTCAGCTTTTACCGTCAATTGCCACGCCCATCTACTTCCCTCCCCTCATACTTTCCTATTCGTGATCGCCATTCGTTGGCTAACACCCATTTCTTCCTACCATTTGTTCATAGCTCTTTCTTCAATTAATAAATTATGTATTTTCCACAGTTATACTGCAATGCACTTCAGGCCAAATTAGTGGAAATAGAGACAGAAGTAGAGGATGAATTTCTTCGTATTTACTTAATGGACCATGGATACAAGGGTAGATAGAGAAAAAAAATTAATATGTAAAAAAGATTTTTTTGTTTTTGAAGTGTAATTAAGTAATTAAAATTATTTATTTTGCAAAATCCCTAATTGTTTTCTTTTTTCATTTTAAATCAAAACTTCCTTTATGTGAAAATCATGTTAATTCAAATATAAGTCATATTTGGTGATTGATAACATTTAAACTAAAAAAGTTAGTTATAATGATATAGATGCATCGTAGAAAACCTTGCATTTAAAAAATAATTATTAAATACAAGCATTTCTGTATGGTCATCTTATTATATCTATAGGTACACATGTAATGAAATATATATACATCATAGACTGTTAGCAGTGCGCGTTTACCCTTTAGCATACTCTTTCATAGACCATAATTAGTTTTAGGTTAAGTAAGTGTTCTACCTGTTGAATCTAGGTAGTGTTCACGTCATTAATGCGGATGCAACACACTCCCTGAAAAAAATTTAAACAGTTTTATTTTGACAACTGTACTTTAGGTCAGTTTTGGATTGGTTTGACTGATGCTTTAGTGGAGGGACACTGGGTCTGGGAGAGCACCCAGAAAAGCCCAGGTTATACTGGCTGGGGGCCGGGGGAACCCAATAATGGGGGACACCATGAAGACTGTGCCCATCTGTATGACGCTATTTCCTTCCACTGGAACGATGTCCCATGTGACAGGAAGTACAACTTTATTTGCGAAAAAGAGTAAGTAAAATCACTGGCGAAGTACTTTTGCAATGTATGAAAGAAAATTTTTAAAGATTACAATTTTATGTACTTCTTTTTTTTTTTACCTTAGTGCTTGAATAGATCTTAAAAACACAAAGCGCAGTAACACTTAATTTTATTCTTTTCCATTTCAGACTTGATGATGATGGAGGTATCATTGGATAAAATTCTGACTCTACAATTTGAAAATATTAGAAAGAAAATTCAAAAATATCGTTTTTGACTAATCATTATTGACAAATTAGTTGATGAAAATGATATCAACATTCTCGTTTACAGTCCGCATTTCCTAAGTTCTATGGTTGATACAATGGCCTTGACAGCAAATACAATATATTATTAAGTAGATTGCTGACATAAATTTCTCATTTTAATCATTAGATAATTTTTTTTCCATACTGAATTTCTTATGGACTTTCTATTGACTTTTCCGTTTGTCTAATCATAACAAGGAACACACGGCGAGTGTGAATGGTCGACATGAAATCATGATACCTAACCCCACCTTTTGATATTTTAACGGTCTTTGACGTAAACATTTTATGACGCAAAGACCCTTAAAATAAATTTTAATGTAAATTATGATCTTAAATTGAGGAAATGTGGTTTATCCATATAAATTAAACACCTGACTGCCCAAGTGTAAAATGCTAAATAATGACAAGCTGTAAGTTTTCTTTGACAAAAATACAACTTTTATAAAATAATCTCCCTATGAAAATATTTCTTATCTGTTGGATTGTTTAATGTCCCTTTCCAGAATTTTTCAAACTCATATCGAGATGCCATGCATCACTTGCCATTGAGGGCAACAAATTTTCACCTATGTTCGGCACTTGCGGACTTTAAGCAATGATAGATCTTTTTTATGTCAGCACCTAATGTGACAGGGTTAGGGTTAGGGTTAACCTCCGTTTATACGGAGGATCAGTCTCCGGGTCCACCAGTGAGATATGAACCCGTGATGTAGGATCAACTCCCTACTCCGCGCGACTCAAAAAAAAGAAAGAAAGAAAGAAACACCGCAAGAGACCAATATCCAATAATACCCTTGTGAAACTAACTTAAAGTCGAGAGTCACAATCTACATGGCTGAGACGCATGCTTAGCAGTGCGTCTCACGTTAGACTAGTGTACAGTGCGTCTCACGTTAGACAAGTGTATTTTATTTAGTGGAGAATTAAAAAAAAATATCAGCACCAATTAATCTCTATTACACGATCTAATTATGATAATTAAAAAGTAAAAAAACAAGAGGCCCGTGGGCCTTATAGGTCACCTGAGTATCATGCAACAACTTTCAAACAATTGAATATGATTCATGTTTTAATCTAGAAGCCATGAAATTCACAATTTTGAAAGAGGCACCATTGCTTATCATAATTATGCACCCAGCATACTTACTTTGGTTAGTAATACCCAGAGGTACATGTAGATCACAGTAACAAAGAGAAAATGCATTTCCACTTTATCATTATCAGTTGTGCACCCCATCCCACAGGAACCACTGACCCTGGGGCCACATCTTTCAAAATTTTGGAAATTTTATAAATTTTATTTCATCATGTTGTTGATTAATACCAAAGTGCAGATTTCAAAGCATTAAATCATTTTCAGACCCCCCCCTCCCCCAAAGTACAGGTCTATTCCAGGGGCCAGGAAATTAAGCATTTTTGGAAGAAGCAGCGTTCTTCATCATAAATATATACTAAGATCATTGCCATAATACCCAGGATCAAAGGAAAAGATTTTCAAAAAATTTATGCATTTTCACTATATAAACGCTAGAGCCCCGCCCTAACACAAGAAGCCCTGACCAAGAGGTCCTGAAATTCAAAGATCTCAAAGAGGCATCCTTCCTCCTCATAACTATGTACATAGTTCATTGGTTTGATACCCAGGTGCAGAAAAGAAGATTTTCAAGTAATAATGCATTTTCACTATATTATAACCGGTAGAAATACACAAGTCGGTGCTTCGTTTAATAATTTATCATAACGATTCAAACTTGGTGTTTACTACACGATCGGTATGTCGGCGTGGATAGTGCAAGGTCCAGTTTCCAACTGACGATCATGTATGAAACGGCCAATTTATACCAATAATGAAATAAACAATTAAAATGAAGAGTTACTCTAAGCAGATGGACATAATTGACATAATTAAATTAATTGAATAATAATTAACATGTTCACTCAGGTACAGGTAGCATCAAATGTCTTGCGGTCAAGGTCTGTAATTATGTTTTAATTAGCACTATCAAAGAATATAATTGTGACTCAAAATCTGTTCATTTCACACGGTCACAGTACTCCCTTGCCCCCCGAAACACGTCCTCGTGTTTCCAAGAAGGTCCAGTGCTGTCAGGCATACTTCTGACAACATTGGAAGTCCTTGGATACTGCTTCCTGGCTCCACGGGGAGGTCCACTGTAGATGGCTTTCCTCGAGGAATGAAACTCTTTGTATTTCCGAAGTGAATTCAACTCTTCCTCTTTCTTTTCGGTCTCATTCTGAAAGTCAGTTAATACTTTTTTCGATTCCTCAAGGTCTTTTTCTACAGCTGAGAGTTTTTCCCGGAGTTCTTTAATAGTCTTGTCTTTTTCTACGAACTTCGTCAGAGAAACTTGCCGCTCACGCAACCATTTATTTTGGTAGTATTGGGCGTCGGATTTGTAAGATGCTGCCTTGTCCCTGAAGTTTTTAACTTGGGTCTCTAAAGTTTCACTATGAATGTCAATGACACTGACAGATGAAAATGGCATTTCACTCAATGTGGATTTTTCTTTGCGGGTTGTTCGAAATTTGATTATTCTTTCTCGGTCTCTGGTTTGCTTCCTTTTTGATTTCCTTCGCACTGTACATGTTTCGTCAGTCTGCGTTTCAACTGATCGCGTCGGTACTGAAGAGACAGCATAGATGGTACGGACATTCCGTGTTTTACACATCCTTGCATAGTGTCCTCTTCTTCCACACTTAAAACATGATGAAGCCAGTGCGTTGCAGACGGTCCATCCGTGTCTTAATCCGCAGCGTCCACACTGTTGCAAGGTGAAGCGCGGTTGGACTGGTCGCATCCATGCAGGAACAAATGGAAACATGTCGATGATTAGGGGAATTCTGGTACGAAGGTTGGCAAACTCGCTTAGCTGTATGAGAGTACTGGGATCTAACTACTACAAAGTATATGCAGTAGCCCTGGGTAAATTACCCTTAGGATTCTCCACCAAATATAACCGGTAGAAATACACAAGTCGGTGCTTCGTTTAATAATTTATTATAACGATCCAAACTTGGTGTTTACTACACGATCGGTATGTCGGCGTGGACAGTGCAAGGTCCAGTTTCCAACTGACGATCATGTATGAAACGACCAATTTATAACAATGATGAAATAAACAATTAAAATGAAGAGTTACTCTAAGCAGATGGACATAATTGACATAATTAAATTAATTGAATAATAATTAACATGTTCACTCAGGTACAGGTAGCATCAAATGTCTTGCGGTCAAGGTCTGTAATTATGTTTTAATTAGCACTATCAAAGAATATAATTGTGACTCAAAATCTGTTCATTTCACACGGTCACAATATAATCAATAGAGCCCCGCCCTAACACCGGAACCCCTGACCCTTTGGCCATAAAATTCTCAATTTTAGAAGAGGCAGCCTTATTCACCATAACTATGCACTTGGTTAGTTTATTTAATGCCAAGGAGCAGAAAAGAAGAATATCAAAGAAATAATGCATTTTCACTATATAATCCAATAATATAGCCCCGCCCTGCCACTAGAACCCCTGACCCTGGGGCCATTAGATTCACAATTTTAGAAGAGGCAGCCTTATTCACCATAATTATGCACTTGGTTAGTTTATTTAATGCCCGCAAACAGAAAAGAAGAGTATCAAAGAATTTTGAATTTTCACAATATAATCTATATGGCCCACCCTAGCACTAGAACCCCTGACCCTGAGTTTACTCAGGTGACCTAAAAATTAGAACTTGTCAAGATAACAAATGTGAAAACATTTCTTTTTCATGGTGTGAGAAAAACCAGCGATACAATATTTGGATTTCTTTATTTTTAAGACAGATAAACAAAAATAAAAAGACGTTAAATAAAAGATATGGTTTTCAAAGTCAGACTAAGTGAGACAGATACCAAAATATCATCGACACATCATACCATTCAAAATATAAATGAAAAAATGATAAATTAAAAACAAAAAAGATATCTCAAGTTACTATACAAATGAATAGTGATTATTTACGATGAAAAAAAGCATAAAGTAAGCACACAGTATTCAGCAAATGTCCATTCAATGATTTAAAACGAGGTGGAAACAAATATATCCGGTTATTATCCATTCCAGCGTATATTATTGAAAAAATTTTGATTAAATTGATTGCCCGAGTTAAATCCTGGAAACAGTCTATTTCTGTCTATTCGCTGCCGTGGATTTTGAGTTGTCCTAACAGCTCTCGGTGATGCTGTAGGTCTCTGTCGGTTTCTTCTGCCATTACCATTCCCACCGAGGCCTCTCCCCACTAAGGTATTTGCAGTATTACTTCCCGAAATTTGACGTCTTAATGGAAAGTCGTTCATAATTCCTGACTGCATACGGGCAAGCAAATTTTGCCTTCTTCGGAAATTCTGCATTCTAGCCGCTCTCATACGAGCTAGATTTTTTCGAAGATCTGCGACTTGTGATGCTGATAATTTTGGTCTAGCTGAAGTGATATCCACATTCACAGGACTTTCCGTCGTACTTTCTCCAGGGTTGTTGGAGACACTTTTTATTCTCAATATACCTCTTTTACCCTGATCTGGAAGATCCTCTAGCTTTCTACGATCCCGGAAAAAAGTTGCTTGAAAAGAAATCCTGGGTGTCGGCTGTATGGATAAAGATGATTCCATCAGTGGCCTTGTGTCAATGGTTAGATAGACGATAGGTTCGTGTGTCACGGTGTACACAGATATCGAATGAGTATTAAAAGTTTTGGTATTGGTTTTTGTGTAAAATTCCTCAAACGAAGAACTTGGATAAAGAACACTTGATTCTTTCTGATGTTTCCTTAAAAATAATTTATCAGGACTAATTGGTCTTTCAATATTTTCATGATGCGATGAAACACTGTATAAATAGGTTGATTTGGTTGGTTTTATATCAAGAG